TGAAATCTTAAATACCACTATTGGGAGGCTTGTTTAAGTCCATAAATGGACTACTTAAGCTTGTAAACCAAATGCTTACCATCACTTGAAATGAACCCATCAGGTTGTTTCATATGAACCTCTTCCTCCAAATCTTTATTGAGGAAAGTTGTTTTCAAGTCCATTTGATGTAAATCTAAATCAAAATGGGCAACCAATGCCATAATGATATGGAAGGAATTCTTTTTAGAAACTGGAGAAAACATTTCTTTATAATCTATCCCTTCCCTTGGCATGAACCCTTTGGTAACAAGCCTAGCCTTGTATTTCTCAATGTTGCCTAATGAATCATTTTTTGTTTTAAATACCCATATACAACCAATAGGTTTCTTTCCAGTAGGCAACTCAACAAGGTCCCAAACTTATTATCCGCCATAGAATTCATCTTGTCAATCATTTCAATATACCACAACTCATATTTACTACTGCCATAGCTTGTAAAAACGTGTCTGGGTCATCCTGAACACCTATGTCACAGTCAAACTGTTGCATATACACTACATAGTCAGTAGGAATTGTTGATTTCTTTGTTCTAATAGATCTCTCTATAATGTTGTATCAACAGTCTCTTGTTGAGATTGTTGCACAACTAGTTGTTCCTCCTATGGCGGAGGTTGTTCATAATGATCTTCTAAAACAATCTCATTAGAACGTGGACTTTCATTGATTGGTTCCTCATTGTTCACCCTATTTGGATGAACAACCAATCTTTTACTTGATATAGGAGCATTATCTGAAACATTAATTTTCTCAAGGACAAAGTCTCTGAGTTGATCACTCCTACTAACCACGTCATTCTCAAGAAATTTGGCATTTCTTGATTCAACAATTCTACTGGAATGGTTCGGACAATAAAACCTATATCCCTTAGATTTTTCCGCATATCCAATAAAATATGCACTAATAGTCCTAGGATCTAACTTCCATTCTTGTGGATTATAAACTCTAACTTCAACTGGGCAACCCTAGACACGTAAATGACTTAAACTTGGTTTCCAACCTTTTCATAAATCAAATGGCATTTTGAGAACCACCTTAGTTGGAACTCAGTTTAATATATACAATGTAGTTTTAAGAGCTTCAATCCATAAAGAATAAGGAAGTTTAGAGTTACTCAACATACTCCGTACCATATCCATTAATATTCTATTTGTCCGTTCTGTTACACCATTCTGAGATGGTGTGCCATGCAAGGTGTATTGAGCCACAATACCTTGCCCATAAAGAAATTTAGCAAATGGACCAAGTGCTTGTCTTGTACCAATGTATCTACCATAATATTCACCACCTCTATCATATCTCACTAGACCTGGCAATCCATGACCCGTACCCGTGGGTAAACTGGTACCCGTACCTAATGGGTAGGTATGGGCCTAGTTAGTAAATTCGCGTTTTATACGCGAATTCACGTATTTTATTAGGGCTGCCGTATAATTCGCGAATTATATACCCTATCCGTATAATTCGCGAATTATACCCGAATTTTTGCCGAATTTTTGCAGACAAAAAAATAATTACATGATAAGGCAAAACGACGTCGTTTTGGTGGGGTTTGACTAAAATTAAAAAAAAATCTTCTTCTCCTCTTTCTCGGTTCTCTCTTCCATAGTCTTCATCTCTTCTTCAAATCTTCAACAATTCAACTCTTTTTTCTTCATCTCTTGACTCTGAGTCTTGATCTCTTCTTCTCTTCTCTTTTTAAATTTTAACTCTCTTCTCTTTTTAAATTTTAACTCTCTTCTCTTTTTAAATTTTAACTCTCTTCTCCAAGCTTTAAGTCCAAAACTTCAACTCTTCAAGCCTCAAGCTACACACTTCTTCTCTTCTCTTTTTAACTCTCTTTGAATCTTGTATGTTGGTGATTTGTTTGTGTTTGTGTTGGTGTGTGAGTAGTAGTAATAGGGGCTGGTGGATTGATGGATTTGTTATGTTGGTGGATTGATAGATTTGTTTGAAACATGTTTGATGAAATGCTTGTGAGAGTTATATTTGGTATCTGTTTTAACATAATATTTCATTTAGTTCTGTTGTTTTGTGTTGTATGGGTCAAAATGAAAAGACTAAAGATCATCTATGAAAGCAAAAGGTAAAGGCAAAACTGCAAAAGAAAAGCATGAATTCATAAAAATAATATTGTCGGGCTTGGATTTGGAATTGGCAGATACTTAAAGAAGAAGAAAAAAGCAACAAACCATCAGTTTACAACCAACGCCAACTGCAAATTGTAAACCCATGTGCACTTTGTCATGTTTTTAGATTTCATAACACTATTATTATTTGACCTTTGAATGTACTGTCCAATTAAATTCAGAAAATAAAACAACTATACTAATTGGAATCCAAACTTTGTATGCGTAGCTATAAAATTAAGGATAAAAATACTAGTCTTAGTTATTGTTCAAATATACTTTAAATTAAAAGGAAAATAAATTGTAGGGTCGACCACAATGGATTATTTAAATGGGGATGTTTTGAAAAGTGCTAAAACCAAGATTGCTATTGCCGTATTTTTCAAAACGTATTATTGACAATGTGTCGTATTAAACCCGTATATATCCGAATCGTATTTTTTCCGTATCCGAATTTTATGACCGAATTTTTACAAACGTATTTTTCACCATTTGCCATATCATACCCGTAAAATTCCCGTACCGTTTTTTTGCCGTACCCGTATTTACTAACTAGGGGTATGGGTATATCATAAAATGACCCGTGTAAAATTGACCCACACCCGCCTGCCCGTGACATTTGCGGGTGGACCAGGTAATGCCCGCGAGTACCCGTGTACCCGCAATTGAATTGAAAAAAAAAAATTTCAAATAAAAGAATAAAGAAAACAAACCCAAGTTATCACTGAAAAAAGTCAAAAAAAAAAAAAAATTGCAACTCTCACTCTCTCAAACTCAGACTCACAGACACAGTACTCATCACTCAACAACTCTCTTCTCTCACACGGCAGTTCAACACAGCAGCGGCAGCACACGCTGGCAACTGAACTCTCCTCTCTTAGACTCACACAGTAGTAGAGCACACTCATCAGTCAACTCTCTTCTCTCACGCAGGTGACGCAGCACAGCAGTAGCACGGCAGTAGCACTCTCTCTACCAAACAAACAAACAAACAAACAAGTATTTTTAATCTCTTTTATCGAGATTCAATTCAAAGTTTGGAATGATGATTTCAGTTTCAACTTCAACAATTCCTTCCTTGAGCATTAAAGCTCCTTTTAGAAACCTCTCCAAACTCTCATCACTATCTTCTCTGCAGTCCCTGTACAGTTCCGTCAGATTCAAATTATTAACAATAGTCGAATTTGTACTGATTTGATTTGTGTTTTGTTCAGCTAAAGAATAAGGGGTTTGTCTAAAGAAGAAGGAAGAGAAAGGTTGTTGGGATTCTAAATAAACAAAATCTGCTAGTGATGGAAGAGAAAGAGAAGGTGGATTTGTATGAAGAAGAAGGAAGAGAAAGGTTGTTGGGATTGTTGAACTTTCTCTCTCTTTTTACTAGTTTTTGCAGGTGGCAGAATTCAGGCTTTAACAAAGAGAGGCGGTGGACTAAGCTTAGTCTCCAATAGGAAATAACAAAAAATGCATAAAAGTCCACTTTATGAGGGTGACCCACGGGTGACCTGTACCCGTGCGGGTGGGTACGGGTCATGTATTTTTCGACCCGTGAGAATTTTTTACTCATGCGCGTTTCACCCGTTACCCGTGGTTACCTGGTCCATACCCGCCCGTTTGCCAGGTCTAGTCTCACGATCTTAATTTGTTTTTCACATTGTTTCTCTACTTCTGTTTTATATATTTTGAAAGCATCCAATGCTTCATCCTTGTGATGAAGCAAATAGAGATACATATATCGTGAGTGATCATCAATAAAAGTGATGAAATATTTCTGACCACTAGAGTTCATGTCAAGGCAACAAATATCTGTGTGCATGATCTCTAAAAGTTGAGAACTCTTCTTGGCACCTTTCTTGGATTTGTTAGTTTGTTTTCCCTTAATGCAGTCTACACAAGTATCAAAGTCAGTAAAGTCAAGAGTTTCAAAACTCCAACATTTACCAACCTTTTAATCCTATCAATAAAGATGTATCATAATCTCTTATGCCACAAAAAAGAAGAGTTTTCACTTATAACAATACGTTTAATACCAGCACTAGCATGTGAAGTCATTAAACTATAAGGAATAGTATCACTTAAATGAATTTTAAATAAAACATCACCCATAGTATCATTTCCAACAATAGATGAGTTCTTAATTAAATTAAAAAAACTACTGTAAAAGTTGAAAGAGTATCCACAAGGTACAAGTTTAGAAAATGAAATTAAATTCCTAGAAGAACTAGGAATATAAAAGGTTCGTTCCAAATCCAAAATAAAATTAGTGCTTAAATTAAGTCTATATTTTCCAACAACTTCAACACGTGAAGGCATCCTGTTTCCCGAATATATGCTGCATTCACTTCCCATCGGTTTCCTTTGATCTAGAAAACCCTGTATGGTATTAGAAACATGGATTGTAGAACCAGAATCAATCTACCAATCATTATGAGAAACACAAATCATATTAGATTCATAACATATAAGAGATGTGAGATTACCTTTCTTGTCAAGCTAGACCTTTTCTTTTAGGACAATCCTTCTTCATGTGTCTTTTTTTTGTATAGAAAAAACACTTCGTGTTTCCTTATTTCCTTTGCTCATAACCTAATGCAACTTGCCTTCTCCCTTCCACTTCTTATTCTTGTTTGAAGTGTGCTTGACATTTCCTATCACCAGATGTGCAGTTTCATTTACTTTTTGAAGCAATCTCTCCTCCTCTTGAACACACATCTTCAAAAGCTCATTGATTGACCATGTAGCCTTTTGTGTGTTATAGGATATCTTGAAAGGAGTATAATGCGATAAGAGAGAGTTTAGGACATAATGCACCAGGAAATCATCATTAATCACCATCTAAAGGGATTTCCACTGAGCAACGATGTCCCTCATTTTCATAATGTGCTCACGAACTCCATTAATATCATTGAGCTTCATGGATGTCAATCTACTTATTAGGATGCTGCCAAATGCCTTATCTGATGTTTCAAACTGAGCATGAATTGCATCCATTAGATCCTTGACATTCTCACACTTTGGTATTGACTTACCAATACTACTCATAATGTGAGATTTGATAAACATCATGCTTAAACAGTTGGATCGCTCCCACCCTTCATACAAAGCAATCTCAACCTGAGTGCTACTATCCGTAGGTGTAGGGGGCTTTTCCTTACAAAGAGCATAGTCAAGATCAATGCACCCTAAATGAAGAAGGATAGCCTCCCTCCAGGATTTGTAGTTATCACCATATAAATAAGGAACTTTATCCTCAACCATCATCAAAGTTTGATCAACTATAGGTATATCAATATATATGCTTACTAAATAAATTATGAGGCACAAATCATCAACAACAGTTATAAGTTTACCAATGTAAAACAAATAACAAATCATAAATGAATCGATATATCATAAAATCTTCCTATAGGTAAAGACATTACGTATTATAATTCACTATCCTTTAATGATGAAATTAGAAATCAATAATATTTCATAATACCTATAGGCTAATTAAGAAATAAGAATAATTTCTATTTCATCCTAATTAATCATGAAAATATAACATTCCATGTGGGTAAAATGATTATATTAACATGATTAACTACAAAACGATGTTATTAACTTTAATATGATCATAATTAATATTCCTTAATGCATATATTATCATAACTTAGATGTTGTGGCTACTGTAAATTAATCAAATATATACGATTATAAAACATCATATTGTTATAACATGGATTACTGCATATAATACAACATAACATAAATCAAAACAAGGATAACACATTATTTATGCATAACAGATTAATACATGACATAAAAACTATCACACGCACTGTCATTGACTCCCACACGCCACCGTGACTCAACCACACACACCACGTGTCTTCACGTGCCGTCACGCCCCTTCATGGCCCTCCAACGCACCTGTACGCTCATGCCCCAAAACACACCTCCCCCATGCGCCTAACGTAAGCACACGTGCGTACATGTGCCATAAGTCAATGCGGGTCAATTTGACCTCGTTTGACTGGGTCGTGTTATCCTTTTACCTGGTTCATTGACCTAGTTTGACCTATTTGACCAGTTCAATGACCCGTTGACTGTCTGACTCGTTGGTCGATTCATTGACCTGGTTCAAATTGTTGACTGTGTTGACCGGGTTGGTTTGACCCATTGGGTTATTGGGTGAGTTTCACCAGGTTGGTTTGACCTTTGACTTTGACCAAGTCAGTTTGACCCGTTTTTATCCTTGACCGGGTCAATTTGACTCATTGACCCAATTTGACCGAGTCTTCTTAATCCATTTTCTGTAACTTTTAAACCCTTTTTTTGCCCTTTTTAACAGCCCAATTCCAGCCATTATATCAGCGTTTTAGAGGGGAAACTTGAATGTGGACGTATGGTCTATGTCAGTGACATCCCAAATGACATTTTCATCCTAATACGGCGCCATGGCTGTCGAAATCATCCAAATGGTAATTTTAACCGAAATTTAAACTACCATTACTTTGCAACCACAACTCCGTTTTTAACAGATAATATATCGCTAGAAAGCTCTTTCAACAAGGATTCCAGTGACACCAAAATCGAAAACAAATTTGATTTATTCAAGACGTTATGTCCTATTAAAATTATAGGTTTAAAAATAAAAATTCCCAATTTTATGCAATATTCTCTAAATTTGCCACAAACAATTAAATGCCAGGTAGTGATTAAAAGAAAGCTCTGATACCACATGTTAAAACCAACAATGTAAATCACTCAAGATCAACATGTATATATTCATATCATTATTCATATACATGTTCATATATTCATGGAAATTTGCGAAAGCAAACTAATTTAACCACTAACCTCTAGCCATAGCAATTTTTTTGTTGTTGTGTTCTTCAAAAGTTACAGACTCTTCCAATGCACTGCAATTCTCAGAACGATGGTTTTTGGGAATCATAATAATTGCGCGTATTGGGGACCTATAACGGTTCCCACTTTAAAGCACGCAAAAGTCTTTCCATCAAAGACAACTATTGGGGATAATTGTTGAAAACTACTCAGCGATTTAAATTTTTATATAAAAGTGAAGGACCAAATAGTAATTTTAGGGCAATGAATTTTAATTAATTAAAATTATAACACATTTTACATGCAACAATAATAATTAAGCTCAATGTTAAATTGGTGATTCCAAAGTTCATGCGTATATTAAAGTACTATTTCAGCTAATCTCTAGAGATAAAAAAAGAAGTAACTTAATTAGATAATATATGTGAACGCTATACCTATAAGATATATGTAGAGACTTGATGTTGAGATGATAATGTTAATTAAGTTTTGGATTTTGAGCTATGAAAATGGTGCAAATTGGAATAATTAAAGAGGAAGAAGAAGGGAAGAAAGAATTGAATGGTTTAGGTCCAGAGAAAATATACAACATTTATATAAAGGACATTTACCCACCCAAGGTATGTGGAATCTACAAGTTTCCACCCGTGCTTTCATACATTGCAAATTCCCACCCAATTTAAAACTCTGTTAAGGTAAATTTTGCTTTGACCAGGTTTGACTAGTAAAATACCCTTCTATACCCTTTAATATAATAATGAGTAAATTAATAAATTATTTTCTAACCCTCAAAATAATAGAATTAGCAAGATCACCATATTCCTTTCAAATTTATTCTAATAATAACCCTTCTTCAACCTTTCTCTTCTCATCAGTGTGCAGATTTGGTCATCGGGATCTTCTCCGCCTCTTTCTCTCTTCTCTTTCTCCTTATCTCTTCTCCACCAATCTCTCTCTCTCTTTTCTCTCTCTCTCTTTCTACTTTCCTCTTCTCCAGAGCAGCCAAATCTAGCCGCTGCCGCCTCTTTCTCTCTTCCCTTTTTTCTCTCTTTTTCTCCTTATCTCTTCTCCGCCTCTTTCTCTCTTCTCTTTTTTCTCTCTTTTCCTCCTTATCTCTTCTCCGCCTCTTTCTCTCTTCTCTTTTCTCTTTCCGCAGTGGCCAAATCTGGCCGTCGATGGTGTTGGTGTTGGTGGTAGAGTTGGAGTTGGAGTTGGAGTTGGAGTTGGAGGTGGAGAGGTAGGGTTGGGTTGGGTTGTGATAAAATTTTAAGATGTGAAGGGTTATTTAAAGTTTTACTAATTTGGGGAGTTAGAGAGATTAAGGTTTACTAATTTTTTGGATAAAAAAACCTAAATACCTTTTTTACCGTAAAACTTAACGCTTAAAATTTAAAATTGGGTGGGAATTTACAATTTATGAAACCACAGGTGGGACAGTAGATTCGCCAAACCTTGGGTGGATAATTGTCCTTTTATAAATGTTGTATATTTTCTCTAGACCTAAACCATTCAATACTTTCTTCCCTTCTTCTTCGTCTTTAATTATTCCAATTTCCACCATTTTCATAGCTCAAAATATTCAACTCCAAAACTTAATTAACATGATTATTAGCTGATAATTAATTGAATCTTTTCAAGCATGATTATTGCAATAATTAACAAATATTATCCTAATAATCTAGCAATTTATATCGAATGTACTTATATATATATATAATTAAAAAAATTATTTCTTCGAAACAATAGAGGGAAGCATTAAGAAATAACTACCAAATTAATCATTTGTTTTTAGTTAATGAGAAAGTGTGAGAGAATTTTGATTATGTTGGTGGACATGATGGTGGATCTTGTGGTTATGTTATTTTTTATTAAGTTTAGGGAAAAATATATGGGATTTATGATTTATAATAGCCACAATTAATTGTCATTTCCAATGTCACCTCATTTTCTCTTTCTTCTTTTCACTTATCACCTCATTTTTTTTCCTCTTTCTCCCCTCATTTTCTCTTTCTTCTTCTCACCTATCACCTCATCTTTTTTTTTTTTTTTTCTCTCTCTTTCTCCCCGTCCTCTTCTCTTTCTTCCTTACTTCTTCGTAGAGGTGAGCATTTAGGACTAGGTCTAAAAACTCAGCTTAAAAACCCGATCTTAGGAGACCTGATCCCAAAACGGGACCAAACCTAAAAAGGAGGGTCTGATCCCTCTACTAGGCCCTCCTCCACGGCCCGGGCTTAGGACCGGTCCCAGGCTTGGGCCCAAATTTTTTTGTATTTTTTTAGTTTAGTCCCTTGTACAATTACATAAACCCTCATATAAATTTTAAAATAAACATAAATTATAAGGGTTAACATACAATTTTACAAAATTTATTAGAAAAAAAAAAACTGAGGTTAAGAAAATTAATAACAATATTATGAATTACAGTTGGAAATATATAAAATTAATTAAGAAACTTTGTCACAAGTCTTATAAATATCTCTTGACTAATAATTCACTTTGAATAATAACAAAATCAAATGCCATGAAACATGAAAGATAGCGTGGTGATAACAAGTAATATTAATCATAAAGGACAATAGAAATTCCCATATATCAACATAAAATTTAGAAAAATCATAATGTGGAACTTATAAATTAAAAACATAAAACTCGTCAAAGATCGTTGATTTGATGATCATGAAGCTCTCTTACTCAACCCCCAACATCTTTCTGATCTCCATAACGATTTCATAGACCTTCTTCTAGTCACACATGGAGTTGGAGACACTGGTTTTTTTATTTCTTAGCCATGAAACAAGCTTCGAGAATTCTTCTTCTACCTTGAATTTTCCCAGAGTCTCATACTTCGAAGCTGAAGACTGGAATCAATACCAAATCCACAAATCCAAAAAGTTCTCACCTCCAAAATAATGTTTCTCTCCAAGCTCTCCTTCCACTACCTTTAAGTTACTTATCACTTCCTTCTTTGCTAGTTCCTACACTTCACATTTCGATTCCAAAACGTCTTCACAACATCAAAAATCTATACAATTATCGAACCAGTTTCATGCTAGTTAAGGAAATCATAACTGAAAACTGAAAAGATTTTTTTTGTTTTTTGGAGTGATTTTTAAACCTCATATAATTTATCATTATCCTCGGTTGCTAAATACACTTCTTTTATATTTAAATAAGTCTCTTTAAACTCCATGTAATACCAAAAAATAGTCTTCTAACCTTATCAGTTTTCTGTTTACACCACTTTTCCTCATTTTTAAATTTGAAACTTATTTTTTCTTCTTAGATCCATCTTGTTATACAATTACTTTCTTCATAGTTTTAGTAATATATGTTCATCGAACAAACAATTATTTGAAATAAAATAAAAGGTTTCAATTATTATTAAAATTTAGAATTAGGGTATAGGGAAGAATTAAAAATTATAAAAT